CACAGGTCATGGGATTCCCGTGGGATGGGAGTCAGTATTAGTGACGATCACGTGATTGGGACGGTACAGGATTAAACATTAACGGGAGCAGACGGGAGCGGGAGCAAACCAATAGTAACAAAAAAAACTAGGATCGATGCCAAAAAATAAAATAAAATAGAAAGAAAAAAAATCCAGTACTGGCGCCTCCATTTTGTATTTTTTTTCCTTGAAACCTACACTATAATGCAAGTCAAAAAAACTACACTACCCAAAAACCAACATTGCTTCCGCTCTGAGTTTATCACCCAAGCTCAAAAACAACAATGGAGGGACCAACAGTTAGTGGCGAACTCGACTTCGAAAATGGGAGTGGTGCAGGAGTGGGAGTCATTCTGAATGGGAGCGGGATGGGAGTGGGAATAATTTCACCAGGAGTGGGACGGGACAGGATTTAGATTTCTACTCTGGCCCAGGATCGGGACGGGACACAATTTTTTTCTGTGGGAGTGGGACGGGACAGGAGTGAAAATCCACTCCCGTGTCAGTCTCTACTGTACAGTACAGCTAGTAGATGTTTAGCGGGATATGTACATTAAATAATATTCTTTGTCCCTCCTTCATCATGTAAACAGGTGATCCACCATCAGCCCCATTTCTTGAACCCCCAGCACTCCCTTCCCTCTCCCAGTGACAGCTGCGGAACACAATATTGTTTTCAGGGACAGTACAGTCTGTTGGAATTTCCCTCTTTTTACCATTATATATATATATATATATATATATATATATATATATATATATAAATTGAAAATAACTATAAAGTGAAATGCCCTTCAGTTGTATATACTGTAAAGTGCAACCATTAAAAGACACGATTAAGACTTTAAACTGCTCTCTCATGAGCAGCGTGAAGCAGCCAAATAGAAAATAGATGTTTTGTCATTACACATACAGATTAACAAAAAAAATAAGTTCTCAGGGCCAGCATAAAAATAATGAGTCCTTTAATAAAGTTATAGTGAAACCTATTTACATCAATGTATTTCATGGGGCCCTGGCTGTTATGCTTCTTCTGGTGTAACACCAAAATCTCCCCATTGTAGGACAATATAGATTGTTTTGTATTCTATTCTATTTGATTGTAATAAAACAACCTAAGATAAATACATTTTCAATATAAATTCATGAGGGAAACAGGAAGTTGAAAACTTAACAATTTATTTATTAAACAATTTGAAACCCTATCTCCCACTCAACTCCCCCATCATTAATACTTGAACTCCCCTACTTGAGGCTGGAATTCTTCTCCAACCTGAAGGGGAAAAGCCACCCTTTTCTGCTCAAGAACCATGGCCTGAGACTTGGAGGATATTATTCTTATCCTGGCTGTTTAACACTTGGCTGTGTACTGCAGCAGTGCATGCTGTAGATCTTGGCAGGAGGGAACCAGCGGAACAATATAATCTGCAAAAATCAGAGATCAGATCCATTGATACCTGAACCAGACCCCCTCCAGGCCTTGGCTGCGCCTACTTGTGCTCTCCATAAAGGTTATAAACAGGACTGGTGACAGAAGGTAGCCATGTCAGAGTCCAGCATGCACTGGGACTTGATTGATTGATTGATTGACCAAGCAACCTCTAGCGCCCTTCAGAGAGTGTAGAGCTGGTCCAGTGTTCCATAGCCCGGACAAAAACCACACTGCTCCACCTGAAGCCAAGATTTGACAATCAAATGGACTCTCTTCTCCACTACCCTAGCATAGGCCTCCCCAGGGAAGTTTAGAAGTGTGTTCTATAGCTGGAACACACCCATTCCTATGCAGGGGAACCACCAATCCTGTTCCTGACCTCCACACAATCTGGAAGAGGGGTGTCAGCCATGACAACCTGAAAACATCCAGAGCTCTAAGGTACTCAGGGTTAGCCTGGTAAACCAGACTAAATGGGAGATGAAAGGTGTTATTTAGTCTGGTCCCGATGAATGAGACATCAGAAGATTGTTGAGGAGAACAACCCGTTTTTTTTTCGAACCTCTGTCTGTGCCTATTGGCCAACGCTCTGATCAATGAGCACAAGTGACTGTGACGTAGTAAGCGCGACAGAATGTGCGTAGAGCCAATGTAGCGCTTCATTAAAAGCTGCAAGTGCATGCTACTGTTTCAGCTTTGTCTTCACGCCCTCAAAACCCCGCCTGCTTTGCATCCAGACATTCAAAACACATCTCTGTGTTGTGATTGGCCCACAAGATTTAGGGCTGGGGCATTGATTGAGGCTAGACCCATATGCAGGAAAAACGGATATTTGCCACTCGCGCTGGGGAAAGTTTACTAGGGTAACTAACTCGGGGTGGATCTCGTGCACCCCCAAAGCATTGCCACAGTTGAGTTTTTTAAATACCTCTGGGACTTCAGCCTGGGTGATGAATGAATCCAGCTCCCTCTTTCAGGTTCAGCAGCTCTCAAACACCACTAAAAACAGTATTAGCAAAGCATTGCTTTCCCCTAAGGAGGCACTGGACTGGTTGCCAGAATCGCTTTGACCGAATCTCCAGCTTCACCTGCACAGGTATTATGTTGTGAAGAGAGAGTTGAGCAAAAAGGCAAAGCTCTCGATTTATGAGTTGGTATAGTCCCTACCCTCACCCATGGTCTTGAAATCTTGAATATGGCAAATCATGCGGCTGAAATTAGATTTTCTCCGCAGGGTTGCTGGGCACTCCTTTATAGATAGGGTGTAGAGCTCAGTCTTTCAGGAGAGGCTTAGAGTAGAGGCGGTTCCACTCCACATCGAAAAGAGTCAGCTAAGGTCAGAAGGTGATGAGAAGATTATGAGTAAGAGACACCGACTACCAGCTACAGCCAGCATCTTCAAGAGATGGTTTGCCTTTATTTAGGGGGTTGGTATCTAATTTTCAAACTCTGAAAAAACCCATCTGGGCAAGCACCTGTATCTTTCCTGAATGTGTTCATGGATGGACATTCATATTGTATAGTGTTTGTTTATAACTGATAAAAATTTTTTTAATAAATACCCAAAGCACCTTTTGGAATCTGGAAATTGGACCCAAGGATTAAGCCAGTGTGTGGAAGTCCAAAGTTCTTGATGTCTTGGTTAATTTCTTTAGATTTTTCCATGATGTCAAACGGGAAAACTGTGTTTAAAGTGTTGCTTTAAAAAACTATTGAAAGTTTGTCTGCACTAAACTGCCAGAAATTATTTTGTAAGCTATAGTGTTACCATTTTCTCTTACATGAAGATCTTGATTGAATTTTCTTTTTTAAAAATTAGAATATAGGTTTCTGATGAAGTGTACCTGCACACATCTAGCTTTTATTCATAAGAACTCACCTTGTGTTAATGTTGTAACGGGTGACATGAGTTTGCTTGAAAAGCACAGCAAGTACTTGCCAGCCACTTTGGGTGGCCATACTTTTCATGCAGGGCACTTCCTTAAAGCTTCTCATGACAAGTGACCCTTGCGTGAACAAATTCTTAGAGACTAGGTCAGGCTTTTAGTTCCAGGGGAGTTCCTAGTGCAACCGTCTATCACGCCTGGATACCAAGCAATCGACTTGTCAATGAACAAACTCCCCAACCTTCACATTTAAGCCTCAAGGGAAACGATTATTTTCCCAGCAGCGTGGGTTATCAGGACTTTATGACAGGTGGTTCATTCATCATTAGCCACTGACAACAATGTGTTTGCAGAAATCCATTTGGGTTGAATGTTCATGTGCAGAGTGACTTCAGGGAAGGACAAAGAGTCCTGAGTTTGTATGCTGGTAGCAGGGTCTGAGGAGCAACCACTCTGACAAAGAAAACCAGACTGTTGACAACAATCCATAAATCAAATGGGGGGAGTTCCTCTTTGAAGATTAAGGTTGACTTCCCTCTGGTTTTGAACCAACATCCACCTCAAGTTAAAAAAGACACAAATATTTATAAAAATGTATTCAATGTTTTGTTGTCTTTATTTCAGTGTTTGATAAAGCCCTCTCTGTGCTAAGGGAAACAATGGTCAAGGGAAAATAAAAAAAGAATATATATATATATATATACACATACATATGTACTACCTTTTATTACATAAAACTGCTATTTCATTAAGATTAATCACACTGGTTTACTGGAAGGTGAGCTTTCGTAAGCTTTCGTAAGGGCACATGCTAAAATAGGGTAACATACATTTGTTTTTTTTCTTCCTGTAAAATATGTCTTTCTATTCATTTATCAAAGCATACGTTAAAATTAAATAATGTAAAGATATATATTTTTTTATTTATGGATATGGAACCTCAACCTGAAACGTCCTGGCCACCCACTGTAAAAAAATAATCATACTTGAACTTACACAGTAACCAAATATGATTGGTTGGCAGTATGTTCAACAAATAATTTGACTCATCTAAAGTTGGAAATAAATGGCTGCATGTCTGACAGCAACCATATATACCATCCAGAGAAAGAGCTAATTCTTGTGTTTTTTTAATTTCATTCTTATTACAACTGAAAAGCCACAATTTGTCACACTGTGCAGAACACTGTAGCCCAAGTTATTCTTCCACACTTAAAACTCTTTTAAAAGTCAGTTGCTTTATTTCACTTTACTGTAGTTCAAAGACAATTTGTTGCAGTTTGTATACTGATTAAAAGCAACACTCAGATAAAAAAATAAGGTTTTATTAGACAAGTAGATTCTTCTTTTACAAGGTAAAAATTCTTGAGGTTTATTATATTTCATAACTGGATATTCCACATATACTCCATCACACATCTGATTGGCTGAGGTCTGATTATCCTCTCTGTCAGCAATGTTTTTTTTTTTGTAAAATAGATGCTGGCATTAATTATTGAATGGAACTCTCTGCGTTGTAACTATCAGAAAGAAGTTGCCCCCAAACTTTTTTTTCTCCATGTTTTGTCTGAGTCCCTGCATCCTGCTCTCCCTGCGCCATGGTGACTCTGCTATGAGAGCTGGACTCGTTACTAAATGGCTTTTATCCAAGTAGAGGCGCCTGAGAGCGCACAGCCTGCTGAGTGGGAGCGCAGTCGCAGGTTATCCACTGCCTTGTGCAAGTTGTGTACTGTCACTCTGCCGTCTCTGGGATCTTCCTTTATATAGACGTGAGACTTAACAAACCAATCTCATTCAGCTGTGGGCGCAGATTGTTTTCCTTTTTATTCTTTTGTGCCCTCTCTCCACTCTTCACCCCCCTGATTGGGCTTTATTCATTCTGCGTGTTTGTAAAGGCGATTGTTTGTGCGCATCATCGAGGTAGCCAAGAGAAGGTTTGCCACTGTTCCATAGGAGACTGGTGAGTGTTCCTGTCTGCATGTTTTAATATTTCAACACTTCCATCCTGCTGACTTAAAGACACTCGAATGCTTTTGGTTAATTTCTACTAAAGTTGATGATTATACACTTTATTTAGTTTTATTAAGTATTATAAAAGCAAGAGGAGAGATATACTTACTTTTTTTTTTTACTTTAAATGCTATATATCTTTTCTGGATGTGTTTATGGGCATTTAGTTTAATCCTCCTATGATCTTTTTACAACATTAGGTTTGTGAATTAAAAAATAAATAAATAACTGTCACTTGTTTCAAACCTAGAACAGGGTAACTTTGCATTACTTTTTTAGTAGTTTTGGCTTATTAACAAAAGCAATCTAACCATTAGGGTGATTTAATGATCAAAATCTAGTAAACGCTCTGATGTAAACTTTGTTCAGTTATGGTTGGTTTTTCTTCTCAGTGGGCTGCCAGAGCATCATGACAGCTGAGAAGAGTGGGCCTGTTATAAACGGTAAACCAGAAGATGGCAGAGACTCGGACGGGTCCAGTTCCAGCCTTGACAATGATGAATACAATGAAAGAGGGATGTGGAACAACAAGATTGAGTTCATCCTGTCTGTGGCTGGAGAGATCATTGGCCTGGGAAACGTCTGGAGATTCCCATATCTCTGCTACAAAAATGGAGGAGGCAAGCTTTATTTAACCTCTGTAGCCATATGACAAACATACCTGATAGTCCTAAGAGTGAAAAAAGAAGATGCTGTGCTTTGCACTACTTGTAACAGGTCATGTTGGCTGAGACCCTTTTTTTTTACAGCAAATTGACATCCGCTGGTTTTCCTTTTAACACGTTTCCATAAATGTCAAAGATGTGAGTGTGTGTATGGAGGGGTGGGGGGTTGTTCCTGTCAAAAGCATATCTCAGAATAATGCTCTTCTAACTCAGACTGTCAGTTTTAGGTGGTCGGCCATCGCTTGTTTGGTTTGCAGTTGTGTCACACTCTTTGCATTGATGGATGATAAATTGAACTGAGTCCTCTTGATTTTATTTAGGCGTATTAGAATAAGGGTAGAATGGTAATCATGAATCCCGCGTTTTTCAATTTTTTTATTTGTAAAAAATATGAAATGTGAAAAATATGAAATATTAAATATAAAAATATGAAAACAATGATGAGCCACTTCTCACTGCACTTCACAAAATTTCACTAAAATATATTCAAGTATAGCAGTTTCAAAAACATAACACTGACCTTTTTTCATACTGGTATACATTTTTCAATCTGTGTGATTACTTGTGTAACACTGCAGAGTTGTCATGCAGACAAATGTCAATTAATAAGGCAAGTTACCTCATTAGGCTGAACAGTGAGGTGCAACCTTATTTCTGAAAAGGTCAGCAGCATTCCAAGCCTGTGATTGTAATGAGTATATTTTATCTGAATTTGTTTGAACTGAAACTGTTTCCTGCATTAAACTGGCCACATATTTGAGAATTAAGCTTTAAACTATCGTTGTGTCTGATTTTTTAATTCTCTTATAACCACAAGGTGTATGTATTTATGTGCATGAAGGTGCCTTCTTCGTTCCATATGTCATCTTCTTTGTGTGCTGCGGTATCCCTGTGTTTTTCCTGGAGACGGCATTGGGTCAGTTCACAAGTGAAGGAGGTATCACATGCTGGAGGAAAGTTTGCCCATTGTTCGAGGGTGAGAAAACACTTGATTTACCTTTCTATATAATGTACTCTGTGAGTGAATTGTTAAAGATATTGGAAGACAAATTTATGTTTGCCTTTTTAGGTATTGGCTATGCAACACAGGTGATTGAAGCACATCTTAACGTGTACTACATAGTGATCTTAGCCTGGGCCATCTTCTACCTCTTCAACTGTTTTACCACTGAGCTGCCATGGGCTGGCTGTGGACATTACTGGAATACAGGTAGGAAGTTAGGGGATAATCCTTTCTTTTAAGAAAAAAGAAAGCTTTGTAAACTCAGAGACTTTAAATGTATTGAGACCTTCTTGTCCAATTTTCTATGTATAAACAATGCATTCAGAAGTAAATTAGGTATGCTAATGAAAACATCTCATTGTGTTTGCAGAAAACTGCATTGATTATTATGGAGAAAATTCCACCAACATCACCAACCCCAATGCAACATCTCCAGTCATTGAGTTCTGGGAGTGAGTAGACACCACACATTTTTCTATTACATCATATTATGCACTATACAGAGATATTTTAACCATTTACTGGGTGAAATGCTCCTGTCTGGTCAAGAAAACCTAATGAGGTCAGATTCTTCTCTACCATTTTGTTAAAAAGCTGAGATATTGACAGACTGTGTCATTTGTCTTTTTCACTCCCCCTAACCTCACCCCCAATAATTAGTCAGGTCTTTTCATATTTCTGTGTCAGCAGGCTTTTGAGGGTTGGCTGTCTGCCAGCTAGAGCCATGTGTGTGGCAGCAGATCACGGCTTGTTAGTGCGTAGATTTGACCACATGTCCTGTACCACTGCCAGTAGCCTCATACAAACAACTAGCTCATATTTAACCTGCAGCCAATTTGCAAAAACCTTTAAAAAACAATAAAAGAAAACTTAAACTATTGCAACCAAATGAAAACGGAGCTGCATAACAACGATGAAAACATTAAATTAGATCTAGTAGCTTTACGTTAATAGTAGTAATAGACTCAGCAGAGCTCACTGCCATGTTGCTGGCAAAACCAGAATTTTGACAGCTTTTATTGAGACAGGGGAGACTAAACAATACATTTGGACACTGTCAATAAATGTGGATCTTTATTTAGTTTGTGCAAACATGTTTTGTAAGTATCCATAAAGTATCTGTGCTCTGAAATACAAAGCTGATTTTACTGTACTTACTTTTTTTGGTTATTAATTGCCTGTATGATCTGGTTGAATTGTAAAGTCCCATGAGATGACTTGTTGGGAATTGGCACTATATTAATAAATTGAATTGAAATTAAATTATTCAGTTTGCATATATCAACTTAATTTAGCTTTCTGTTTTATTAAACTTCCAAAAAGCTAGCTATCATTATTGAGATAAAAAAAAAATCTATATCCAAGAACAAAACTTTAAAAAATATATTCAAATCGGCCTGTGCTGGCTATCCATAAGTAAGAGTGGGGGGATGTTGGACCAGGCTTATGGCCTTCCACCAAGAACATGTCAGGATGATCAATGGCTGGTCAGGAGCACTGAGGGTGAACTTGGTGGCAAGGATTTTGGCAGCGCTGTGTGGCTTTGTGGTTCAGACCTCTGCTTCTCATCGTTGTTCTTAATGGGTTGAGCTTCAGCAAACAGGAAATGCACTCTCGACTCACTACTGCAAACAGCATGTTGGTGTACATAACATTTATTTTTCTACACCTCCACTTGGCATATTTCAACAGATATTTGTAAAGTTGTCTGTATAATGTACATTTGGCTTAAATTTATCTGTGACAGGCCTTATGTTAGCAGAACAAATATTGAATGGTGACCCCTGACTGATTTAAACATTAACTAATGCCACACAATGACTGAAAAACTACCACACAAAGACTATTGGTCTTATTCGTAGCAAAGAAGTGAACATTAAATTTTGATTCCTTATGATAAGAAAAAAACATCTTATGATTTATGGAGTAGAAGCTGGGCAAAGGGCAAAACAGGAAATCAGGAGACGCATGAAGAATTTAATGATAACAGAGGACAAAACTTACAATCAGACAAAAAGAGAGCAGGGGCATGGAAAAGGCAGGAGACAGCAAGTAATAACTGCCAACAGATTGTTTACAGGCTGAGAGAGGTAAGGAAAGTTTCAAAGCGTGCTTGTGTGTTAATCAGAAGACAATATGTGGCAGCTAGTTCAGAAGGTAAAGAAATAGATGCTGAGGATGAATAATTAATGTGGTAAAACCTTAGAGATATAATAAGTTTAACAAATTGAACAGTATAGGGCAACATTTTAGGGACAAAATAAATTACGAGTAGATGATGAGGACAGAAATGAAAACCAAAACCTTTCAAGCATAGAGCATGAAAATAAAATAGATAAATAAGTCAACAGAGCTGCTGGTTATGTATAAACAAAATCCATCTTTCTCTTTTTTGCAGGAAGTCTTATTATCTCTATTTAGTATTAGCCATTGCAGCTTTTTAAATAGCTATTCTAAAATACAGATTGTCACTAGCTTAACTTGGCTGTAAACATTTTGCTCTAACTGACCAATCAGAGGACAGAAAATGCTGACCTTGGGGTGGACCGTCTAGCTGGTTCTGTGGGGCAAATCTGATTGGTTGAAGAAAACGTTCCTCACTAATGTTATTAAGGTTTAAGATTGCCTATTCTGTTTGATATCAATTTCCCTGTCCCCGCTTTTGTATTTTTTAAGTGGTTTTTATTTCTATGTTTTGACTTTGTTTCTGCCATTGTGTTCTTATCTTTAACCACATAAATGTAATGGAAGCAGTACAGCCAATAGAAATGCTGCAAAATTAAGAGAAGGGATTGTTTGGAATAAATTATTCAGTTGGATAGAGGAAAATTAAAATTTATGTCATGAATGTAGGTTGGAGTTTCTGATTGATTTTTGGCCAGCAGTGAAGGCCTTGAAATCCCTGATTGCCCACCGTTGGGTTCAGACTGATATTAATTTTTTTTTTTGTGTCAGCTGTAAAAGAACACTAAAAGATGTTTTTTTATGATGCAAATCACTCACACTTTCTCCAATTTAAAATATCAAACATGTTATGAATTAGATGCATCTGTAGACACCTTTGTTGATTGAGAACCAGTAAAACACAGTATATGTGTAGCTACGAACATTACAGATTCACACAGAGATGTGCTCTGGGAATGTTGCTAACCAGCAGAAGGAATGATTTTACTATTTTTAGTCTGCTGCTGCACGCATGTATTTATTTTTTATCATCTTTTTTTTTTCAGAGTTCTTACATATTTAATACAGCTAAACACTTCAAGACTAATCTGAAATAAATGCTGTTGTTGGCTTTTCTAACTGTGTTCAATTCACAGTCATCTACATCTAAATTTGCATTATTTTGGTGGAAATGATATAATATGTATTTACATTTTAGGGCATAGGGATCATTCTACAGTATAACTGCAAGTTACATACAATAAATGTTATAAACAGTCATATTTTGTGTGTTTGGGCCAAATCAGACGCAGAGTCCTGAAGATATCAGATGGTATTGAGCACATGGGAGGGATGCGCTGGGAGCTGGCAATGTGTCTGGCTCTTGCCTGGTTCATCTGCTACTTCTGCATCTGGAAAGGACCCAAGTCAACTGGCAAGGTAGGATTAGGAAAATGCACATTTACTGTTGTCCTCTGTGGGAGTTGATGATTTAGTTGTACCTTCATAAAGTGCATAACTAAAGCATTAATTCCACTTGAATTTGGTCACATTTTTAACAACTGCAAATATCAGAGAAAAAAACAACAGCAGGAAGGAATGTGTGATAAAAAAAAAAATGTGATTAACAATTTTCTTTTTATCCAGAAATTACCTCATAAGTAAATATTAAATATATTCTGGCTGTGTCTAATTTAATCAAGGTCTAACTACAGGTGTTTTAATTATTTTTAGGGTGATGTCTACCAACTTTCATGTTTAGAGATGTGACATTTTTGCAAATCTGTCCTTGTGAAATTGCATCTGTTTCTACAGATTGGATTGAGAGTATTTTTGAGCATTTACTTTGAAGTAAATCCAAATACAGTATTTTCAAATGGATTGCGGTCTAGACTTTGACTAAGCCACTTTAACACAGACATTCATGTTTTAGCTCTTCTTGTAGATTTGGGGTCATGGTCCTGCTAAAAATTCATGTTGGATTGTGGGACTGCAAATTGGCCTTCTAAAGGTTTTCTCCTCACCATTCTTCTTTATACTTTAAAAGCTTAGAATATTTTTTGACGATGCCTTGAACCTTGCCACAGTTTTAACCATGCCATATCTGCAACGTTCCTTGGTCTTCATGACGCTGTTTGTCCACTTATACGTACTACTAACAGTACAACAACAACAGGATTAAGACTGCTATAAAAGTAATTGGGACTAAAGTAACAATTTTGAATGTAAAAAGTTATCAATATTACTTTATATGGTCTGTTACATAAAATATCAATAACAAAAGGTTTGCGTTGTAATGCATTATCAATAGTGCATCATGCACAACAGTCAGGAGATCAGAGAGAAAAAAAAGTGTTTATCTTTGTTTTTCAGAAACTTGTCTTCCACAGAAAGTCACATGGATTTTCTTCCCATTGCTATTTCAATTTTAATTTCCCAGACTCTCTTGTGGTAGCATCTTGGAAGGACAGTAAGGACTCTATGCCTTCTTTTGAGGGCTCAGCGGTCCTTGATAGATCTTCACAGATTCAATGAGCCAGAATGATTAGAGAGATAGAGTCATTAGAAAAGGGTGAGGTTTATGAGAAAAAATTGATGGGTTTGCATAATACATGATGGAGAGCAGGGTAAAAAAGACAATCAGATGGTGACGCCCAAATCTCCATAAAATATCTCTTGTTTGGCTGTGAAGTTAGAGGGGAGAATACTACTTCACTGTGAGTCTTTTGAAGCTGGTTCAAGATTGATTCCTGTATTTACTAGAGGGAAAGCAAGTGTTCATGAGTAGCATGAAGAGTACATCTTCAGCCTCTTTCTGACTCTCTCTACTGCTATGAGTAATTTACCACATCTTCCTTGTTGCGGGAGAGAGAAAGTGAGAGACAGAGAGTGAGAACAAGAGAGAAAAAGCTTTCTATCCTACAAACCCTACAGCTCATTCACTCCGCACTCTGCTAAGCTGTTTACTTTTGTGGGCTGCATTTGCCAGGCATTCTCACATTTAAGCCCTGCTGTTAGATTTAGACCGGGGCAGGGGTACGATTGACCAGCAAATTTATGGTAGCTTAGATGCTTACCCGCAGTGAGCGGGAGACACCACGTGGTGTATCAAAAGTTCATGGAATGGCAAAATATTGTCCTTTTTATTGCTAGAGAAAAAAAGGCAACTGGGGGGAGGTTTAGGATGTGTAATCATTTTAAGTGACAAATTAAAGAAAGTTGCTGCCAGGAACGGAGACAAATTTTCCCACACTCTCCCTGCTGGCCTCTCTTGGATTAATCCTCATGGATGCTCAATGCGCAAATGGAACTGTTTGATTTGTTTCAAGCTCTAAATCATTTTTGTAAGGTTAAGGATGTCCAGGATATTCAGTGAAGTAGAAAGCTTTTGTCTCCTCTTTCTGAATAAGTAAGTAAATTACAGCCTCATGCTGGTAAAGTGGACTAAACTTCTGTGGAGTTGCTTCAGAACTTTCCTCCATGAATGAAGTCAATTTCCTCCTTCCAGAAGTGTAAAAAGGAGTAGTCATTCATGAAAAGGGTGTCTACAGTAGAACAGTGATGTGTCCACAGTGTCCAGTAACCAAATGCATGTTTGTAGTATGTGCACTTGTCTAACTCTCTCTTTTTAAATGAATGAATATCCATTTGTGTGAGTGCACTCATGCACTTATGCGCAAGCTTCAAAGAGCTGCACATTTTCCCACACTGCCAGGATCACTCCTCTGGGCTCCTCCTGTTAAAGAGATGGGGGCCAGAGGAGCACTCTTTTCTTTCAAGGCTCCTGGCCTAGCTCTGTCTGTCCTGTTCTGTCTTCAATTGGACTTTGACTGAGTGCCAGGAAGCCAAGGGATGTATGTTGCCCGCCTCTGCCTTCCAAGAGAGCAGACTCACAGTCTTTGTTCAGGAGAGTCTTGAGATGTTAAGCACAGTTCCGTAGAACCTGAATGGTTTCATTAAAAACAGTGCTTGGCTTAGGGTTACATGGACTGGTTACTGTATGAGTGGTGTTACTGGATCTGTGTCATTGTTCTTTCAACCAAGGCAGAAAGCAGAGAGTGCAGTGAGTTTAATGTGTTTTTGAGTCATGCTCCACCTACTGGTCCTTTTCAAAATAGTAATCCTGTAAACACTAACACCTTTCTTGAGCTGTCACACTTTAAGCATCTTCCAGATACTTAAAGTGTGACATCTCTTCCTTTCGTCATCTGAAAACTGTTTTATTTTCTTTTTTCTTTTTCTTTTTGCTAGCTCTACCATGTCATTGACCTCCAACACAAACAACTGTTCTATAATTACCTGTGCATCGAGCAGCTATTGATGCCATCTTAAACTGCCTTACATTGATCTGCCGTAAAACTTCCCCCCCTACTGCAAGAATGAGAACTGTACTGTAAGACTGTAAGACCAAACCTGGGTCAGCAGTGGGGAAATTTCTATGTGTAGTTTTGTTGTGGCCTTTATTGTTGAGAGGCCAAGTCTATTGTTCAGCCTCAAAGTAATTTTGGCAAACAGAGGTGGAAGGGGGAAGAGGGGGAAGTAGTGCTTCCCCAGGTGGGAAGACAACATCAGATGGTGTAAGGAAAACATGAGATTCTCCTCAACATGGCTGACAGGCCATCTGTGTTGGAAGAAGAGACAGGGTACCTAGAGACTGGCAAGGCTTGATTGGTAGAGGACATTTGCCCTGAGTACCTTAGGACCCTGGATGTTTTTTGGTTCTTCAATTGGCAGACTGGGGTGGTGGTTCCCCTGAATAAGAAGGAGGACCAGAGGGTGTTTTTCGACAGTAGGTTTAAACACACACTGCTCAGCCTCCCCAGGAAGGCCTATGCAAGGTTCCCCAAGAGAAGTCCAAGAAAAGAAGAGGCCAATTTGTTTGTCGAACCTTGGTTTTAGGAGGAGCGATGTGGATTTTCATCCAGATTGTGGAACACCGGAGCAGCTCTACATCCTCTGCAGGGTCCTAGAGGGTGTTTGGGAGTTGGTCCAAGCAGTCCAAACGTGTTTTATAGATCATAAAAGGCAACCCTGTGGGAGAACCATGTGGCAACCAAGGAGTACAGAGTCAGCAACCCTTTACTAGGGGCCATCTGGTCTCTGTACAATGGATGAAGAGTTTGATCCGCATTGTCGGCAGGATATCAGACATCTTTCTGGTACAAGTTGGACTCCCAGAGTTTCCCTCTGTCATTGGTCCCGTTCATAACCTTTATGGACAGGATTTCTTTGTGAAACTAAGGCTGGAAGGGGTTCGGGCAGCAGGTGGGTAAGAATCGGCTCCTCCAAGTCTTAGGCAATAGATCTTGACTGGAAAAAGTTTGCTTGTGCTTATAGGTTGTAGGAGAGTTTCTATCCCAAATGAAGGAGTTCCACTAATCTGTTCACCAGTGGGATGGAGATGGAGCGGTAGATTGATAGACAGATCTGTGCAACTGCTACTTTAATGCGGAATCTGCATTGGTCTGTTGTGGGGAAGAAAGAACTAAGAGAAAAGGCAAAGCTCTGAATTTAAGGGTCGTTGTATGTTCCTATCCCCGCTTATGGTCATGAAATCTGGATCATGAGATCATAACTGAAAGAATGAAATCCTGGATAGCAGCTAAAATTGATTTTGCCACAGGGTGGCAGGGAAATGCCTTAAGTTGCATTAGCATTAGAAATGCATTAATGCCGAAACCTGCACACTCAGTTAAAAACAAATTCAAATGCTTCAACGCTCTGGATGCGCGCTCCGGATTGCGCACTTGCTATTTATCTGCTCTGTAGTGGCTGGAAGTAGTTTGGCTTTATTTACTTTGATGAGTTACCTCAAAACATCACCTGTGCAGTCAGTTAATCGGGATTATGATCCTACTAAACTTTGCAGTTTGCACTTTGCAGACCCCCCGCATTCTAGCCAGCAACAGTGCTGGGAGGTTCCAGTGAAAGCTATCTGCAGCTAGCCAGTTTGTTGGGGATTTCCCCCTGTCGTACTGGAAGTGAATACAAAGGATCTAAGTGGCTTTTTCTGTCCCCCTCTGGACACCTCCCTCAGTAGTAAAAATTGTATGTTTTGCCAGGTATATCAAAACACTGTCCTTACTATAAAACATGGAGGAGGAACAGTAATGTTCCGAGGCTCTTTTATTTTTTTGGCCCAGGGAGTCTTAAACTTCTGCAGGGTACAATTGAATCTTATGGGATTCTACACAGAAATGTGCTGCATATTGTCAGAAAGATTAGTCTCAGTTGCATGTCATAGGTCTTGCAAAACCTAAAACACACAGCTAAAAACACACAAGAAACGCTAAGAAGAAAATATTGGTCTATTCTGAAGTTGCTCCTTACAGTATGAGTCATAAACTTAATCCTATTGAGAATCTTGTAATGAACAGAAACATGCCACCTGCTGAGTGGTATAGTAGTCTTAATGAGATTATAAATTTTAGACATTGTAGGTTTCCTTAAAGCTTCTGGAAAGAAACATCAAGTTAAAGTTAGTATCATTTTTGTCTAGGCTGGTTTAATGAGTATATATTTTAAAAAATTGAAACATGATTGAAAAACAATGTCTGACTTTTTTATATTGTGTCACCTATCTGCAACCAGTGACATGCAATCGGTCTGGGCATGCACTTTGCCACAAGATAGGATGCAGTGATGGGCAGTAGCGCCGCTACATGTAGCGAAGCTATTAGTTTAACTA